TATACGATTACCTAAACATATTCTTCAAAGAGCACCTGAAGTTGAATGTGAAACATCAACAGTGATTGATCATCGTTCTATCCTGTTGTATCTCATTTTCTGTGAACTGCTCACCATTCTTTACAGTTTTCGGTATTCCTTTCTACATTCTCGTACCAGTCGAGTTTTTCTTTTTCTTTACAGCCTTTTCATATCACTGAAAATGACTTTCACAGAGAGCAACGAGTCTTTTCACTAAGGAACTAAGGTTTTTATTAGCTCTGATTTCCGCCGCTCATTCGAGTCTGGTCTACGTTCCTATTGGAGTGCCGGTTCCGGTCTCGAACAAAAGCTAGTAATCAAGCTAAGGTTTTTTTGTCAGCAGTTCAGTTTAAAAGGTAAGCTTACAACATTTTGTTTTATCGGTAGCGTTTGCATGGAGAAAAGAAGACATTATCCGCGAGGAAAGAAACCTTCAAGAAACGTAAGTAATTGACTGACTGACTGCCTCACTGACTGACTGACTCACTGACTCACTGACTCACTGACTCACTGACTCACTGACTCACTGACTCACTGACTCACTGANAGTTTAGGCTCAGGTAAGGACTGGAGCACATTATTAAACAGTTTTTGAAACTTGGATGTTAATGTAGAGACCAAAGAAAGTTTCCATATTACCAGGGTGTTTGAATGTGTAACGAAGAACAATTTGAGAAAAGAGTTATTGAAGTTTGTGCTCTCTGGAACAAATTCACCCTAGAATAACGAGGCATCTTGAGTAAAAGGAGGTCCTTCTCTCAGAGTTTGCATTTGTGGAGCTCTTTTGATTGGTTTGTAAAAACATGTACAATATTGTCTGGCCAGTCAGAGGTAATAAGTAAAGACATGATACATGACATCTTAGCCAGTCAGGTACAAAGCCAGAGCCAATCGTCATTTGTTTTTCTTCCGACTTCGTACATTCCAGCCTAGCAAATCCAGCACAAACGTTCGGCCCCAGCAGATCCCTCAGCAACCCATTCGACTCAATACAGTGAATGTTCCCTCAAATTTACAAGTGAAATTGTAAAACTTCTTCAACTGCAGTACTGATATTGAACGCTAACTTGTATGTTTTGCTTCTGTAACCGTTAGAGCACACCCGTCTTCAAATGGACCTGGAGAAAGTAGAACAGGTTGGAAGGCTTTTTTCAAAAGAGCTGTCACTTGTTTGTTGTTAACTTTAATTTGTACCACTCCCTGTTAAGTGGATGTCATTGTTTGATAGCACAAGCACAAGCATAACGATAGTGAGGACAGCCACAACACAAGCATAAGCGCAAACACAAGTAGAACAAATATTTTTGCTCTTCTTGTGCTTGTGCTTATGTCAAGTGACAACGCGCTGCTGCAAGCATGAGTGTAAGCGAAAGTCTGCCATCTTGTTTTACTATATCGAGCTAGGAGTATGGAACCGAAAATAAAGCAGTTATACATTCTGCGCATGCCCACGTGCTTATGCTTGTGTTGTGGTCGTCCTCTTTACCGTTATGCTTATACTTATGCATATGTCGTTGTAAAAACCAGACTTCGGAGTTTTCATGACATCTTTTAAGATATTGAGCCGCAAAGATCAAAAATCTTGCGAAGATGGTACTCAACCGACACTTAAAAACCAGAAAGGTGGAGCAGAATAGTAGTTTTGATTTCAAAAAAACTATATCGTTATTGTTAGGTCTTGGAACGGTTTTCAGTTGAGTGTCGTAAAACCAAAACCAAAGTAATCACTGAGGCTAGTCACAAAGGACACAGACAGTACAGTGAACCTAGGTTTTAGCTAGGATTTAAAAAGTGGACGCCCAAAATGTGCTATAGGGTCTGCTCAAATGAACAATTTATAAGGCAATATACGAAAAATTAAACGATTTTCTTTAATAAGTGGCTGTCCACAGGACGCCTGGACGCCCATCTGGCTAAAAGTCTGTAGTGAACCAATCAAAACTCGAAGTAATTACATGTAGCTGACGCGTGGAGTGAGTTACGACTGGTTTTGGTGTTACTTCTGACTGGGCGAAAAAGTGGACCGAGTTTTTTAAACCAATCATGTAACGAGTAATGCGAAAACAATCACTTCTCGGCACTCAAATGAACACCGCTCTAATCCTTGTAAGTTATGGCCATGATAATTCTTTGATATGACAATCTTGCTTTACATTTTGAAAACAGCTTGAGACAAAAATAACGTCAGAGCTTGAATCACTGAAAGAAAGGATCCAGACAATGACCCAGGTAAATTTTGTTTTTAGTTTTGCTTGTAGTTGTTTTGCTAACATAACTTTCGTGTACAAATCGAAATTCAAGGAAATTTTACTATTAAAAAAACAGTACAACCCAACAAATCTTGCCGTCATGCTCTGTTTGATATGTATTACAAAATGAACAGATCTTTTAATTGGGGAAGTGTTTGTTTTTTTCCTTAGGAACTTGAGACGTACAGTGATTTGGATACTCTGAGAGAACAATCTGAAGAGAAGAAAACGGTAACATTATGATGCATAGAAAGTCAGGAGGGAGTGACCCCAACATAAGAAGTGCCTTATAACTGATAAGCGTTATCATATAACTGAGAAAATTACTTCATTGTGATTACCTGAGAGCAGGTCAATTTATGGTTGATTTTAAATTTGCACTGCAGTGCGAATTCACGCGCGCGCTTTCGTGATTTTCCCAGTAATATAATGAATAAGAAACGTGTGAAGGCTCCTGCAATTAAGGATTTACAAGGCTGTTGCCTAAGGAAATTTTTAAGGAGCCCAAGCCACTTTTTTAGGA